AACTATCAATAACAGAAACATGACCAAAAACATGACAGGAACAAACATGACAGCAACAAAAAAATAATGACCCGACCCTGAGTGGTCATGTCAGGAGTCCTTTTAAACAACTACTTACATAATGACCAACAGGTGTGCAGCTGCAGGGGGAGCCCTACAGTGCAGCCTGTTGGTCACAAACAGAATCATGACTATATATATATATAGATAGATAGATAGATAGATAGATAGATAGATAGATAGATAGATAGATAGATCTATATCGATAGATATATATTAAACAAAAAGGAAAACTCACCTTTTGAAGACCTACTTACAGTGATAGAGGGGGAGGAAGAAAGTGGCACAAAGTCAATACTGTCACCTAGTGGCGCTTTATGGTATTGATGGAATCAATAGGTTTAGTGTATAATCATTGTATTTGTATAAGCATCTGATTGGTACGTTCCATTTCCGATGTTAGGGTTCTCATGACACAGTTCCTATTTGCCAATCAACTGTACCTTTCGATGAAGGCATTACACAAAAGCTCAAACTTTTTGAAGCTCACTGAGCTGACGTCTGACAAGATTTGCAGATGTCTCGCGTTATGAATATGATGGATTGATTTCCAAGCTGTGTTTGATTTTTGAAGTATTTTGTGCCATAAAGAGTCCAAATTGTACTATATAACACTGTGTGCAGATGGCCCTTACAGCAGCCTGTTTTCAACAGACATGCCTGATACTTCCTCCAATTGTCATCAGTAGTCCAAATTATTATTTTCTTCACAATAGGACCACTGCGGCTTTCTGCTATTTGTATTCATAATAGCAACAATGTGCCTCAGCTGAGAGTCTGCTCACTTTCCATAAAAGCACCAGAAGCTATGGGTGGTTGCCCTCCACTTAATGATGCCATTTTATCCACAGTAAGCTACGACTATCAACGTTTGACATTATTTCCTCAGTTCTTCACAGATATTTGCGTCTTTTTGGTTCGAACATTGCAGTTCAACTGCAGTGATGTGAAAACAGTAAGATGTGTTTTGACACGGACTCAAAAAAGCATGCACATTGTGTTTGCGCATCGAAAGACTCGTTTAGATCTTGAGAGTGCTGTTTAGATCAGTGCTTTTAAGGTTTGGCCCGATGATATTTATATTTGGGTAGCTCGCACTGTCAACAGCCGCTTCTTAACTTTGGCTAAGGGTTAATGCAACCAAATACAGACCTAATTAGCAGTTTGCATTCAAATTCCGGCAGTACGGTGGTAAACTGCAGTGATTCCCGACCACTGTGCCGTGAGAGCTTATTAGCCTTGAAATGAATGTGAATGGTTGTTTGTAGGCCTATAAATAATGACTAACATAATCAAATAACCTGTCAATAATTTTGGCCAGGAATTAATGAACCGGATTATTTTTTTAAGTGTTTTAATAAGGACATGACCAATATGATTTACTTAGTTTTTTTTTTTTTTTTTTTTTTTTTTTTTTTTTTTTTTTTAGGCCCATGCCGATTCCAATATTTGGTAGAATAAAATTCAAATGACCGATGAATCTATTCTAATCTAATTTCCAAACATTTGGAGAAATTTAAACTGAACAAGGTCTTTAAACAATCAATTATCAATAAATAATCAATTATGGTCAATAATCAGTGATTAATTTGATGTTGAGTTGTCGATTAATCATTGCACCTGTACTTGTTTGTCGATATGTGCCCTGAACGACCAATCCAGGGTGGGCTAGGCTCCTGCTCACCCGACACCCTGATGAGGGCAATGGAAGGATGACGGACTGCGGCGGAAATTATGTTTGGCCAATATCTTCACCATACAAACGCGTAAAGTATAATGTGTCAGACTGATTAACGGACTCGCAAACGGAGTGACTGATTACTGCAGCCTCCAGCGTCACCTTGTCACGGTCACCACTGATCACATATTCTACACTGCTGTTATTTGTTGTTGTTATGCAATGCCCCCTCAAGCTAGTGATGATAAAACTGTCAGACCTGCAAGAAATTTAAGTGAAGGTCATTTATTGTTACCTGACCCAGAGGCCATGGAGAGCATTTGCAGCCTGGTGCACACTTGAGGTCAGAGTGTGCACCAGGCGCCCTGACCTCTGTGCCCAAAGGGACGCCGAAACGTGGACACAGCTGCTACGTGGGATCACTAAGCAGCTGGCGAGCTCTCCCTGAGATGCAGCCACCACATCGCTATTCTCATCCACCCACGAGTTTCAATGAGCTACACCGAGAGCTGTAGTCATAGCAACGGGCAGACTTGCTGATGCCCTTGGGGATCATTTCTTGACAGAGTTCTTCAGTGTCCTCCCTTTTGGCATTTGCACGATGCTGCTATTGCCAGGTAGATATGTTTGCCTCCGTGTCCCCTGGCAACCTTCATTGCGCTCTCACTTCTTCTCAAAAGTCAGTCAGGAATTTTAATGCACATAAACTGTTTATAAAGCCACACAGCAATGTCTTTTCATTTCTGCTTCAATAAAAAGCTCCTACATGTATATATAAGTAAACTATATTTGTAAAAGTACTTGCTATATGCCCTGGTGGCATACAAAATAGTCTAGGACAGTAGCTAGATGCGGAGCAAAACCTCCTCTAATTTTTGCCTCTATGCACAGCATCGTACTTACTCAGCTCAGCATGGCTCTCCTTGCAATTTATGTTTTTCCACTTATAATGGGATAAGAAGAGTAGAAGAAGAACGTGGCGAGTGTGTAAATAGCACTCCTTTTTCACAGTTTGGGAAGAATATGTGCCTTTCAGTATTGTTATATTACCTGTATTCAGGGTTCTATATTAACACCCACCAACTAGCCAAATGCAAGCTAAAATTCATTTTGGCAGGTGTTGGTAAAAACTTACCAAGCAGTTTAGCCAGTGATGCATGAGGCAGTTATGTCGATTAGACATACTCTACTCTGTTTGATCTTCGGTCATTTGTACACCTAGCAGTGACTTCGGCAATACTGTGCCGTAATGCTATACGTAATGACGTTTAATAAGCAGTGTTGTATGTGAGACTTTGGGCGAACGTGACCTGAACGTAGTTCTGATGAGCATTTTTGTGAATCCTTTAGGCATCCGTGAAGGGTTTTTGAATGACAGTTCACTCTTGTTCAAGAGTGACAGGTTTCCTTCGACGTCCAGGAGGAAACCCCGCTAAACACACAGCAAACGAGCCTTACTATGAAAGGAGATGGACACCTTATTTGGCAACCTAAGCCACAGAGCCTTGCGCGGCCGCATGCACCATCAAAACGTAAAGCATGATGACAGCTAGGGGGGGTCGTACCTGAGATTGTACTTGTGCTTGTACTTTAAAGATTACAGTCCAGTTTTTGTTTTATGTCCTCATTTTCAAAAAGAGCATTTGAGCAACATGTTTGCCATCATGAGATTGTAGGGTAAATGTTGCAGCTGTCTTGATTGGAAAAAAAGCATTTTGAATGTTCGTAAAACTCCTCTGAAGGATACGCAGGGCATGCTGGAGGGAGGAGCTACAATTAGAAATAACTGTGTGTCAAGAGAGTTACTAATAGCATGGGTTATACGGATGTAAATACTGAAAGAGTTGGACCAAGTATAGAACCCTGAGGGACACTTTTGAGAGGTGGTAATTGGTCTGAGAGAAGACCCACCACCCTCACTGACTGCTTGCGTCCAGAGTAGTGACTGTAAAACCAAAAGACACCATTTTCAGAGTGGCCTAGTCCTAACAAGGCCTAGCAGTCGAGAAAATAGACTCCTCTGTCCTCGGATTTGAGTCGAGATGCTACTGACATTCCCAGTGACACACAGTTATCACACACACCTGATGAGTGAGCGATCCTTGGCATCTCTTTGAAGACCTGCCAGATGGGTACCTTTCAGAACCTGGAGAGGGGAACAGATGGCAATTAAAACTCATTAGAGGGGCAGAAGGAAAAGGGCAAAGGAATGTAGGTAGACTTGCACTGTCAAGTACCTATGGACGTAATAATAGACAGTGGATAATAGATGAGGGGGCAGTAATCATTGTCAAGCAAAATTATCATTTTTCTGCAGCAGCACCAGCTGGGATGGCAACGTTCATCACTGCTGTTCTCCTCAGATACCGACAGATGAATGTCGAGTAGTTTATTATCTAATTACACTCCAAATCCCACAATGGCTAAGAGATTTTTCATCATGTACGTGGGATTAAAAATAAGTTTATTAAAGATAAATGGTCTCTCATGAGACGCAAGGTAGAGATTAGTTATGCACCAATGGAATTGTAGATGAGCCGTGTCCCTTGTAAGCCACTGTTAGCACAAACTACAAGTGACAAGAATTTTAATCAATAAACTATTGACCAAAGGACTCAGCTTCCAGTTACTGACAGTTTGATGTCCGCCGGTGGCACTCAAAAGTATTTGCTCTTGCATCCATGCATAATGCCTCTGAGCAATCTTGACACGGTCTTTCTCTTCTCCCCATTTTAAAGCATTAATGTCACAGCCGGTTTCATCTGGAACCAGGTCAGATGCTAAAACGCTTACACATTTCCGTCACTTTGTGACATTTTCCTGCCGTAGACAATCTGATTCCACACACACACTCCACACACACAGTCCAACTGTAATCATGCTCTTACTTCCTCCCACGCAGGCATCTGTAAAAAGGGAGCAGGTGGTTCACAACAGTGGCAGAGCTATTGGTTGATTCTGTGCTAAATACTTGATTTGCATTCTCTCATCTCATGTCCTTGATGGGAGCTGTTTTTAAGGCAGCTCTCATGTGTCGGATGCTTTAATCATGTGTATCAGAAGAAAATCTGTAAATTTTCACTCTAACCTTGTGCGGTCTTGCACAATGTGATTTAGAGAGATACTGTGTGTACCACATGTTCCCAGTTATCGTTTTTTACATCCTAGATTTATTCATCACCTAACACGTTTCAAGGAACAAAAACAAACCTTCATTACGGAAAGAGATGCAATGTCATTTTTCATGTCTATATGCCTACAGGTGAATGATTTTGAAAAAGAGAGTGGCCTTTGGAGTGCAAACCTGTCCCATGCTGCTCCCTCCTCTCAGGGGATGGCCGAGGTCCAGGATGGACACACATTCGCCTGTGACAGGTGTTCACTTATGTTTCTGTTTGCCCGCAAAGCACGACGTAGTGCAGGATATGGCCTTTTCGCGGTTTCTTGAAGGCCTACTATCCATCAATAGATTCAAACAAACAAAAATGATCTTAACAAGAACTCATATTCCTTTTTAGTAATTAACGCAAGAGAGATTCAGTGGTAGCATACGGTAGAGGTACAGGTAGTGAGGGTCTGCTTCCTGGCCAGTAGCCTCCAGCCAAGCTGTCCAAACGCTCCAGTGCTGGTCCCAACCTTCATTACGATGGGCCCCGGAAGGCCCCAAAAAAATCAAGCGGGTGACTTTTTGTGGCGAACCCTCATAAGCTGACTAATACAAGATGCCCCAATTTGAACAGTTAAGCAATTTGAACAAAGTAATGAGTTATTATTAGTTGGTATTATAGTTCTGAGAACGTTATGACTGCACCTCAAGAGCTGACATAAGCATTTGCAGAGTTGGATCAAAGTGCTCATATTGACGATGGTTTCATTCTTTGTGGAATGTATGCTAAAGTGTAACTTGAAAAGATCCAAATATGAACGCAGGTATGATGAAGGTTTAGGCTCACAACATTCTGACTTTATTCATGGAACGGTCGCAACGGCTTTAATATGACTTTTTAGCATCCTACTTGGTATACGCCATCCCAACTCTACCAGGACATCTAATGTAAAGATTGGAAGATACCATTAAAATGATTTGTCAGGGCTTCTCTAAAAAGTCACACTGTGTGTTATGTGTGTTAAGCTCTGCAATGTTAGAGGAGAGCCAAGATGGAATGGACAGTGGTACCCTAAGTCCTGCCACAGCCAGACAAGTCACCATCCAGCGGCACCCTGCTCAAGGCTTCGGCTTCATTGCAGGCAGCCAGAGGCCCGTCATCGTTCGCTCCGTCTCTGCTGGTTAGTGAGTGCGCATGGGAGTGACGCTTGCGTAAGAGGGCTTAAATTTCAGTGTTTAACTTCGTATGCTGGTTGCGTGTTGTCATCTATCTGCAGACGGACCTTCCTTTGGTAAGCTTCTCCCCGGCGATCAGATCTTGGCCATTAACGAGGAGACGGTGAGCGACGCGCCCCGGGAGAGAGTCATAGACCTTGTAAGGTAGCATCCTTTACTGTCCCAGGAGGGAGGGTGGGAGTGTTTAGGGCCAGGGCAACAAGTGTGATGCCCTGAAAAGTCAAAGGAAACACAGGTTTAAAAAAAAAAAAAAAAGGGAGGGAGGGAGGGGGCCGAAAGGAACACAGTGCTTCTTGCCGTGACTGATACATGACCACATGAACGGTGGATGAGTCAGTCCTTTCATCGCTGAAGGACAGAAAGGGAATGGCAGCTAGCAAGTGGCGAAGCTCTCCAAACACTGTGCTGCACATGGCGTTACCTAACCTACTCCGCTCTGTTGTCTCCCCATAGACGCTGCAAAGACACCATTGTTCTCACTGTGCTGCAGCCTCATCAGGTGCGTAGAAGTACCTCACTCTCATCATTTCTTTCCACGCATGTCTTAACAAGCACGCCCTCACATTTGGTGCTTAATTATTAGAGTACTGGTAATTTCTCTTCTGGCAATGCACTCCGAAAGGCTCCAGGTCGCTCATTAAAAGCAACCATCCATCATGGAGAAATGTAATTTGCTCAACAAACTGATCATTTCAAGGTGGTAAAATGATGAGGTCAAAATGCAGATGGGTGTGTTTGCAATTCAAAGCTGGAAGTTTCATCGTATCGTAAGGTCGGATGACATCTCACTGTGGAATTCATTGAGGGGAAGAAGGTGGTGCAAAATAATCACATACTGCAGACTGCACCCCTCTAAAAGTATGGAAACAGCAAGGTCAATGCCGTTGTTTTTGTTGTATACTGAAGACCTTTGGGGTTTCAGAACAAAAGATGAACACGAGACAAAAGCGCAGGATTCCAGCTTTTATTTCACAATATTTTCAATATGATGTGTTAAAAACTCAAGAGCTGTTCCAATATTTTTGTTCATTTGGAAAGTGGGTGGCTTCAAACAAAATATCCTCCGTCCTGAGTTGTTTAACGCAGCACACTGGACTTCATCTTTTGAGCTGAAATCCTATCATCTTCAGAGTACAATTGAAACAAAGGAAATGACCTTTCTGCTCCAATACTTTTGGAGGGGACCGTAGATAGCATTCGCATATTGTATGACATCCACACGGGACTCTAGGGAACATATAGACAAGACTGTCACACCCACCCAACAAGGGAACGAACTCAACTCAAACATCAACTTTGCGGTTGAATCCACTCTCTGCATTAAACATGAAATACAAAGAAAAGAGTGCGCCTCACAGTGCAGAGGTGCAGGGTTCGATTTCGGCCTCGGCATTCCTTTGCATGTTGTCCCCGTGCCTGCATGGGTTTCCTTCCTTTCCACAGTAGGTTGATTGAACACTCTAAATTGTCCCTTGGTGTGATTGTGAACGCGAATGGTTGTCTATGTGTGCTCCGCGAGTGGCTGGAAACCAGTTCAGGGTGTACCTCGCCTACTGCCTGAAGACGGCTGGGACAGGCTCCAGCAGGCCTGCGACCCTCGTGAGGAGAAGCTCTTCAAATAATGGATGGATACAAAGAAAAGAGGGAGCATGGAGAACAAGTAGCACATGTGACTCACTGTTCTCCTTCGTAATATCACCACGAACTTGGTCGGAAATGACTCCTTATTCTTGTATTCTTCATAAAATCCAGTCACTGTCGGTGTTGGTGCCTCAAAGGGCGTTCCATTTTATTTTTTTCACTCAGTCCAACCATCGAAGGAGTTTAAACATTTAAACCAGGATGATAATTGTAGTTTTCGTATTTCAGCAACAAACTGCCAAAGCGTGTGATCGTGGCCCTTCACGATATGACTTTGGCATCCCTTCGGGGTAACTGTGCCTTCTCTCTTTCCTCATCCACAGTCACCTAAATCTGCCTTTATAAGTGCAGCCAAAAAGGCCCGTCTGCGAAGTAACCCGCCTAAAGTGCGCTTTTCAGAGCAAGTGTCCATCAGTGATCCAAACTCAGTAAGTTTTTTTTGCATCGCCAACATGTGCACGCCATCACCTATTGTTGCCCTTTCCCTCAGTCTCCCACAGCTCATTTCTTTTGTTTGATCTGCAAATACCCCCTCTCTAGCCACTCTTCACTAAATGTGTATTCTCGTGTGTGAATATGTGTGTGTGTTTGTCTCTGTAACAGAGAGAAAGCTTTTGGGTGAGAAGTTTAGCCTTGAATAAATTGCTTTTCAGACAGTTTCAAATGCTCAGATGAGCAACCCCAACTGCGAAAGTCACCATAGACCTCGCTTGTCTTGTGGTGATTTGTTATAATGCCAATATTGTGAGGCAAGCGTTGTCACCCTGATGCTGCTATGCATCAAAAATGATTCTGATTATTGTCTCATCGCCCACACCATCGCTCAACAGATTTAACCGCAAACATCAAAATGGACGGCGTGCCATTACTTCGAAGGACTTCTTGGCTTTTGTTTCGCTTCAAAGCGCTGATGCCGTCGAGGGGGAATATTGGGTTGGTCCTTGTGGATTGCTCCAATATGCTATATTGACCCAGAATTACAATCCTCAATTAATTGTGACTCAGCGACGGCATATCTAAACATTCACACTAAATTTTTGAGGACGTTTTTCTAACAATGCACAAAGCATAATGTCAGAAATAAATCTACAGCATGTCTGGTTCTTGTGGATTTTTTTTTTTTCAATAAAGCGCATAGCATTGGGTTTCTTATCACTCTAACCCAACAGATTTTTTCATTAGTTTGTTCGACAGGTGACGTGAACTTTAATTATAGCTGATTTTTATCGGCTCAACCAGCCTGATGATACCAGCATCGTGTAAATGTCACCATTTCCTTAATTACACCTTGGGACAATTGTTGTCAATGACGGTTTGTCTTCTCTTATTTCGACTAATTGTCTAGCTCTCTTGGGAATCGATCCGATTTGATCCGAAGCTACACGACGTGGAAAGAGGTTTCATCATTGTCGCAACAATTTAAACCAAGACGATTGCGGCTTCATCTCTGCCTCTACCGATGAGAGCACAAGCCGCTATTGATATGTTAAAAGCTCAATGTAGAGATGAGGAAAAATAGTATCGTGCCATGTTTCTTGTCATACTCCAACTAGAATGACACTCAACTGAGTGCAGGCTGACTTCAAGACAAAATTCCTCTGGATTAGCACAAAATACAGTATACCATAGAGATAAAAGTCAACTGTATAGCATGCAAAAAAAAAAAAAAAAAAAAAAAGGGCGGTAAACTTCTTGGCACCTTTTGGGATGCTTCACCTTCCTCTCTTGCCGAATATCAGGGAACTGTGTAGGCTGCAAAAGATGCCCAAAACAACAGCTGGTAAATTCAAATGACTGCTTGCGTTTCTCCAAAACAGACTGCTGGGCATCTGTTGTGGACACAGATTGCTATGTCGGATGCATTGTTGCATTAAATCTACAAACTGTCATGCATTAAGTTTGGATTTAGTTTTTACAAACCAAAACACGAGATTTAAAAAGACTTGTGTCGATGTAGATTTGAAGAAATTTCTTCTGCCGGGTCCATTAAAAAAAACAAAAAAAAAAAACTACTGTGACGCACAATAAGAAACTTTACCGTCTGTAGTCCGTTATGGCGTACCTTAAAAACTTTCCAGTGAGATGAAAAAGGAGAGGTGACAGAGAGAGGACACCAATCGGCTTTTCCGAGAATGGATTGCGCTGTGCTTCATAACTTTTCTTCAAACAAGCGCTTTGAGTAAAAGCAGAAACCTTGCCTCCACTCACACGCATCTGCAGTGAATGTCTTCCTATCATGCTTTTTTTTTTCTTTCTTTATTCATGGAGGACATGCTGACCATAACAGATGTTGGATTCCTTCTTGACAGAGCTCGCAAGGGGGCGCAGCATCAAGAGCAACTCACCACCATTCTGTCCTTGCATCTCTTTCAGACAATGCTGAAGGACGACTCCCTGCTGCTCATACCCAATGTGCTGAAGGTGTTTTTGGAGAATGGACAAATAAAGTCCTTTACCTTTGATAGCCGCACAACTGTGAGGGTAAGTGCCACTATGGCGAATAATTTAGACAGGAGTCTCATCCACAGGGTGTGACTGTTTGCAAAACCACAAATATCTTTGATGAGACTGTTTCTCCACTGGGTCCTAAATTATGATAGTGACTTTCAGAACCTGTCAATGGCATCTCTTAAGCACCCGTCCTCCCACGGCCAGTTCGCCCATGAAGCGAGATAGAGAGGGAGACCCAAAATTGTGCAAGAATTCACCTTCAATATAATTACTGCATCTTCAAAATAAATTATGACTAATCTTGATTATGATTCAAAAGGATAGAGGAGTAAATTGAAATGAATATAAACAATTAAATAAGTGAAGATAAATTATTTCGAAATCAGCATTGCTGCCCAGGCAGAGCAGCATTTCTGCACTGTGCATCACCTGCATTGAATTAACTCTTGAGTGCCCACATCGGTGTCTGGACATTTCAGAATCTATGACGGTGTTTGCTGCATTTTAAATGGTGTATGAAAATAAAAGGATTCCATAGTTGAGTAGCAAAATTTGAACTACCAGTAATCGAAACACAAAAGGGCAATTAGAACTTGGACATTACGTATTTCATGTTAAACTCATTTGTTGTGGAGAAAAGTGAAACATGAGTTTCATGTTTTCTCTTTCTCGCCCTTACATGTTTCTGTAAGGGCAGCCCGGTGGGCCAGTGGTTAGCAAGTTGGTTTCACAGTGCAGATGTGCAGGGTCGTTCGTCTCTGTGTGTCCTGCGATTGGCTGGCAACCGGTTCAAGGTGTCCCCCGTCTACTGCCCGAAGACAGCTGGGATAGGCTCCAGCTTCCCCCGCGACTCTTGTGAGATTAACCTCCTAAGACCTGGAGTCTTGCAAGGCATGCATTTTTATTTCATTTTTATTTTCTCTTTGATATTTAGGCTAATTGGGACCTGATGAGTGTAAAAACAAAGAATTATATTTTTACATGATGTAACATCCTCGTAAGTGGACGCCAGGCCCTTGTAGTCCAAAATTTAACATTGTAGTCTTGACAACCCAAAACGTCATGTCCACACATGTGGACGCCAGGTCCCAGGAGGTTAAAGCAGATCAGAAAAATGGATGGATGTTTCTGTTACTACTTAGACATATTTGCAATAACACATTCTCTCTTGGTGTTTTTGTATCTTTTTCTCAAATTCCTAAATTGACCGTATTTTCTGCATTCTCAGGCGAGAGGGAGTATAAGGCGCACTTCAATGAACAGCCTATTTCAAAACAGTTTTCATATATTTATAAGGCACATGGAATTGAAGCTACAATAGTCTCAACTCAACTGAATTTATAGAGCACTTTAAAACAACCATCGCTGTATACAAAGTGCTGTACATGGAGCAAATAGGGAGTGACTAAGGTAAAGAATGAAACTTCTGAATGGTAAATAAAAAAAAAAAAGAGATAGACAAATGAAAAGCGTTCTTGATCAATGAATAAAAACCTTCTGTGGATGAATGAGTCTCAAGTGTGGAAGCTGAACATATAATCATTAACCCTGAACATCAAAGATTTCAATTTAAAGCAATGCTCAATAAATATAGTAATTACAAATGATAATACAATGTAAAAAAAAAAAGTCTGTTGGAATTACATCATAAAAAAGTATTGACATTGAAGCACGCATGAACATTATTTCAGGTCAATTCAATAAAATTGGATGTCACAACAGCAAGTCCCTCGCATGATTTGTTGACATTAACAAAATAAATTATTCAATTTTATATTTCAAATTTTGTGATGTTATCGAATGAATTAATGGCAATGTTAAAAATCCAACTCCTATGTAAATTGTGGATGAAGGGGATCGCCATGTAAAATCTGTCCGAGGGCGCCACACTGGCTCCCCTTGTAAGTATGAAGGAGCCTTCAGGTGCGCCAGCAACGTAACATCCGCCTTTGCCGACGCAATGTGACTAAATACAAACTGTTTAAACCCATTGATCACAAGTGCTGACCACATGACAGGCTCTCTGGAAACTCTCTGGTTCTGAGTTGTCCTTTTCCGTTTCCCAAGACTGAAACTTTCACAAATGTGATTAGGAGCCGTCCTAAAGCATAAAAGGAATTCGCTCAGACTTATGTCGTTCCCCAAGAAGAATGTGACATCTCTGAACAGACTCATTAAATTGGCTCTATTAGATTTCATGAATCTGCTCATAGCAAGAGACAAAGGGGGAAACCAGAAACTGCTTTTACATTAAAGGAGAGATAAAAACGGTCCCTGTCAGCGTAATTAAATGGAATTTCAGCATAATAGGAAGGCGTGGATCAATAAAGAACACTGCGGATGAAATCAATGGCGCGGCAGAATGCACACTTGCATGGACACGGCTTTCCTGCAGCATTCGAGGCTACAAGTCATACAATTTTGTGGCCCGGTTGATGGGACGACTTTTTCGACATTTACGGCAAACCCTACAAGTTCCTACAGTAAAAGTGCTCGTCCTTGCTTTTAACAGATAGCAATTGCTCAGGATTAGAACAAGAGCAAGAGCCAAAGTACATTAACATGTCAGTGCTCCAAGATCTTTCATGACTAATAAAAGTAAACATCATCCATTGAAACAAATCTGCCCAAGAGCTAAAGTTTGACCGCAACCGTCAAATATTTAGTATGTACTAACTGCACGGAATGGAGACCATACAAGGAAGCTCTCCATTGCTCAAGATGACAGAAATGACACTGAAGTATCGGATAAGGAAGCGCCCGCCACAACGATATCACAATGACAAAGCGGCATGAATAAAAAATACAATGCACACAAGTTGGAAATTGCCTCCATAAATCAAAGAATTTGTCGCAATCTTCTCTTGTTGAAATATTTTTGGGGCTAATCGGTTCCCACCGTTTTTCCATCCAGGATGTGATCTCCTCCCTGCAGGACCGCCTCTCACTGCGCTACATTGAGCACTTTGCCCTCGTGCTGGAGGCTGGTGGCCTTGACCAGTGTCAAAAGTTACTTCTGCTGCAGGAGAACCAACCCTTGACACACGTAAATACAACATGCGTAAAAATGGTTTGATCTAACTACAGTGGAACCTATGAAGTCAAACATAACTTGTTCTCGTTGACTTCCAGATTGTTCCTAAATCAAATTTCCTTTCAGAGGTCATGTAAAACTCACCTTCTTAACTGTGTCGGCAATGTTTCAAGTAAAGTTCAACACTTCCGGTTGTCAGAAAAGAGATGTAAACCACTGTTATATACAACTAAAATAAAATAATACTACTCAACCTTTGGTAACACCAGAAAAGACCCAACGGGCCTGATTTACTGTTTTGCGAATGCAAAAACAGGAACATACTTGATTGCTAATGCATACAGATATCAAAACTACATCAGCTAACTATCAAATGAGACCCATGTAACGTGACCTGGTAAGATGTTTTCAATCGAAAGAGCATCCCAAACTGTAGAAGGCACTTTTCACTTCCTGACTGAATGTTTTCTTCATATTGTACACACGCATTTGTAACTGACATGTTTATACCGTGTTGGTGGCCATTTTATTACAACGAACTACCGTGATAATGTCCAGATTTGTTATGTCCCTCGAGGTTTGTTTAAACGAGGTTCGACCCGAGTATAATTTGTCTATGAAATTGTTATAAGTACACCTCAGCATAACAATGTATCTTTATTAACACGAAAGACAACAAAACAAATATAGATCAACTTACAATGAAGACTAATTTTCCTGAAGTTTTTTTAGTTTGTCACAGAAAATTTTGAAGTGCTTCAGTTTGCCCGAAATATTGAAGAAAAAAAAAAATATATTCTCTCTCTCTCTCTCTCTCTCTCTCTCTCTCTCTCTCTATATATATATATATATATATATATATATAAATGAATGAGCGTGCCACTGCCACCTACTGTAGTGCATGTGCAACTACACCAGGTCACACGCAACCCCAGGCAACGTTTTGCATTTTGTTTCCTGACTATACCCGATGTGAAACAAACCATGATGGCAGAACCAAGGTATGTACCGAATTGTGGCTTACCATTAGACCCGTAGCAATTATATGATCATATCGTTAAAACTGGTCACCTGAGAGCAAACAAAACTATGACAAAACCAAGTTTGACACCCCTGTTTTTTGATGCTCACTGAGCAGAAGTCTCACAAGATTTCCTGACATATGACTGCACACGATCATGGTTTGAACGGTTGGATTTTTTACTTATATTTTTCTCAAAACGTTTGTTTGAACTTCAAATTGTCCCACTTTTAGGGTGTTCAACTTCAGAGGTTCCACTGTACGACTACCGAGACTGCGTGAGATGCATTTTAAATGTCGTCACCCCTGTTCAACTATGAAAATAAGACCGCGAGCGATCTATTCTGTCTTTCCGCAGGTGGTGCACCGAACCTATTTTCAAGGAATGAAGTGTCTGTTTCGCATCTGCTTCTTCCCCAAGGACCCAGCAGACCTGCTGAGACGGGACCCTGCTGCATTTGAGTACCTCTACATTCAGGTAAATCACTGGATTAAGAGGGATCAAATTGGCAGCCATTCAGCTTCATAATGCTGTTGGAGATCTGTCCCTGACGACTCAGACATAGGACACCTCATTCAATCAAAATCACATTTACCTCTACGGTATATGTAACATGATTACCAATTTGGAAGTTTTAGTAATGAGCATAGACGAACTGATAGACGAATGGCACGACTCAGAGGAGGGTCACAGTGTTTAATGGTGCTGTTTGCGATTAGCTGTGTTCTAAGAATCACATATCACGTTCCCACAGAATCGCAATGATGTAATCAAGGAACGCTTTGGCATGGACTGGAAATCTGACATCACGTTACGATTAGCCGCTCTCCATATCTACATCACTGTGTCCTCAGCAAGGCCCAATCAGAAGATCTCTCTGAAGCACGTAGAGTAAGTTCACACTAAAAAAAGATGACGTCATCAAAACGTGAACTGTCTTTTATTTTTATCCTTGTGTACTATTCAGCCGAGCTGACTGATAAAATAGATCCTCTGAAGTTGCATGCCCCTTGCACAACAGCTCAGAAAAGAATAAATATTGCAATCATACATATGGAAAGTATTGACAATGCTTCACTTTTTCCACTTTTTGTTCAGTTACAGTCTTGTTCCAAAATGGAATAAATTCATTTCCCCCTCATAACACAACACCACATAATGACCGTGTGAAAAAGTGTTATTTTATTTTTGAAAATGTATTACCAATAAAAACAAAGAAATCACATGTACATAGGTGTTCACAGATTTTGCCACCAAGCTCAATATTGAACTCGGATATAACATGTTTCCACTCGTCATCCTTGAGGAGTTCCTACAGCTTAATTGGAGTCCACCTCTGGTATCACAGTTGTCAATGCATGTCAGAGCACAAACTAAGCATGACCTCAGAGACAGGATTGTCTGGAGGCACAAATCTTGGGAAGGATACAGTAAAATGTCTGCGGCTTAAAAGTTTCCAATGAGCACATTGGCCTCCATCATCCATACACGGAAGAAGTTCCTAACAAGCTTCTGAGAGCTGGCCACCCGTCTCAGTTGAGCAATCAGGGGTGAAGGGGCCTCAGTCAGTAAGGTGTCTAAGAACCCGCTGGTCACTCCTGTCAGAGCCCCAGCAGTCCTCTGTGGATAGAGGAGAACCGTCCAGAAGGACTAGCATCTCTGTAGCACTCTATCAATCAGTTTGCCAAAAGGCGCCTGAAGGAGTCTCAGACCTGAACAAAGACAATACTCTGGTCTGATGAGACAAAGATTGAACACTTTGGCGTGCATGCCAGATGTCGAAATCAGGCACTGCTCATTACCTGACCAATACCATCCCTTCCATGAAGCATGGTGAGGGCAGCATCATTGATGAAAGATGAGAAAAATATGAATGCAACAATGTGAAGAGACATCCTGGGTGAACACATGTTCCACAGTGCTCAGGACCTAAGACTGGAGGCAAGGTTTAACTCCCAACAGGACAACAACCCTAAGCACGCAGCCAAGACCACAAGGGCTTCAGGACAACCATGTGAATGTCCTTGAGTGATCCAGAGCCCAGATTTGAATCCACTCGAAAATCACTGGAGAGGTTTGAAAATGGCATTGCTCCGTTGCTCCCCATCCAACCTGATGAAGCTTGATAATTGTTGCAAAGAGCAAAACCGCCCAAGGATGTATGTGCCAAGCTTGTGGCAGCATATTCAAAAAGATTTGAGGTTGTACATGTTGCCTAAGGCGCATCAGCAAAGGTTTCAGCACAGGCTGTGAATACTTACATTGTGGATATGTGATGTATTAATCTTTCATTCTTAATAAATTTGCAAAAAGAAAAACGTCATTATGGGATATGGTGTGTATAATTTTGAAAAAAAAATATTCCACAACAAAATGCAACCATAATATTGAAAAAGTGAAACGCTGTGAATACTTTACGGATGCACTGTAGATTTTTTTGTTTCTGTTTTTTTCAGAATTACTTAATTTACCTTCAGAGATCAATTATCTATCTATCTATCTATCTATCTATCTATCTATCTATCTATCTATCTATCTATCTATCTATCTATCTATCTATCTATCCATCCATCCATCCATCCATCCATCCATCTATTTATTTTTATAGCGATCTATCTATCTAGCCATCTAAAGTAGGAACATCCTTAAAAGGAATTTAAAAAATGAGAATTTGCTGAATTACTAAGCAGACTCACATTTGTGTTATGTGCAAAGCAACATGACTCTAGTATGTTAAAATATGACAAACAATGTATTGTCCAGTTAAAAACAAAGTTTCATGATGGCAAGATTTTGTCACTAGAGGGGCCCTCCGTCATCTGTCAAAACAAATCGCTGATGCACGTCGTCATGTGTGAACATGTTATACATCTTTTAAAAGCTGAGTTTCTGGAGATTTGAATGGTGCCCAACATTTTACAATTGTCAAATTTGAACTGGAACTTGGGGAGATCTCAAGCTTTGATCCTGTAGTGTTTTCAAGTCCTAATCAACATTCTAAATTCATTTTCAAGGCAAGGCAGGTTTTGTGAAAAGAAATTTGACGAACATAAGATTCGTCTTTTCTTTCTGTTTTCAAACATCCATAGTTCAGTGACAGGAGCACTAAGACAGATTCTGACTGTTGGGGGGGTATTCAAAATGATAACAATTTGAATATTTCATAAAGAGACCAAAACTATGCTGCCACTCCATATGGTTCAAGAACAGCTACAAATTTACTTTGGGTGCACATTTTTTCAGGCGTTTTTGGCAAAGTTGTCCTCACCCGAAGGGGTTAAAGGCCACCCTGCCCATGGATGGCCTTGGCATTGAATTGCATTTATTTTGCTGAGAAATGCATCACATTCACTGCTGATTTTCAGTTCATTCTTTAAAACCTCAACCTCGCAAATAATTAGCTTGTGCAATCATCCACAGTGGCTGTAATAACTTACTGACGTTGGAGGCTGCAAATGAGCCTCAGTGACATTCTTACGTAACTTCTCTCTCAGTCTCTGTTTAGTTATTCTATTCTTGTTTTTATTTATCTTGTATACACTAAACACTTTTTCTCTGTCACAGAAAGGAATGGGGTCTAGAACCTTTTCTTCCGCTCACCCTGCTCCCAACGGTCAAGGAGAAGAATGTTTGCAAGATTCTGTCACAGTTGTTGAAGACCTACCAGCATCCGCCACCATCCGGCAGCAAGGTGATAATACTGATAAACACAAAACCCTTGTCGTACATACACTTGAGGCAAATACAAGCTAAAACCGTACGTTCTCACTCCACATCCATGTTGTACAAATAACCATAAAATAATAAATGAACTCCCCCTTATGTGTGTGCCCATGAGTGAGGCCTTATCAATGATGTGACAACAGTGGTATTTGTTAAGAACATCCATATTGGGCCACAAAATCAATTAAGGGCACATCGACATGTACTTATTTAAAGAGGAATGTTTAATGTATTGCGATTGGCTGACAACCAGTTCAGGGTTTACCCTGCCTACTGCCCGATGACGGCTTGGATAGGCTCCAGTACTCCTGCGACCCTTGTGAGGATAAGCGGATAAGAAAATGGATGGATGGATGGGTGGATGTTTAATGTGTTTTTTTGGAACTCGAGAAACATTATTTCCATTGCTATAAAGGTATCAATACATACAGTATTAAATATATTGATGCATTTAGCAGAAATCTGACAGCTGTAATGAATTTAGAGGATTTTTTTTTTTTTTTTTTTTGCAGAAAATATTTGCTTGGGTACTCGATTATAAAAGACCAAAAAAAAAAAAAACATTTTTCTAAAAGAAAAAAAAATTGATTAACTATGCTCAAAAACATAGGAAAGCCCTCAAGGGCCATCAGTAAACTTGACAGTAGTGATGGGAATTCCGGCTCTTTTTAGAGAGCCGGTTCTTTTGGCTCGGCTCACTAAAAAGAGCCGGCTCTTTCGGCTCCCAAATGGCTCCTCAGTTTTTTTTGTTGCTTAAATTAATTTACTCCCAAAAATAATGTAAAATTATGTGTAAAATGAATTACGAATATAAAAAATGTACAGTATATCAAATATTTATTATTTATATGGCTTTATATTCTTCTGAACATACTCAACATGGCGTACAACGTGGAGTGCTACAAAAAATAAATTACAAAGTACAAAAACAAAGACCCATCTCAAAACAAGGTCAACAAAAAGTTCCAATCTCTGATTGTGTATATTTATAAGCGTTTAACTATTTACAGTAAAACAACATAAGTAAGCTTTGATTACCACACAACAAATTACAAATTAAAATTTGGTATTGGATATTTTAACCTTGCCCAGTCTACACGCTGCCTTTGAACTATCAATTAAGTTGAAATTAGTCCAAATTTCATTGCGTTTCCGATCCATTTTCTCACCTTTCCACTTTCCACGTGTAGTTTTTTTCTCTGTACTGTAGCGCTATCGAGCTCTCTCTCGTCTCCCTGTCTCTCCTGTTCGTGCTGCTCACAGTGTGCTGCTGTCTCTCTAACTCCTCCCCCTTCTCTTCACTGAAGCGCGTGTGCGTGTGTGTGTGTGTGTGTGTGTGTGTGTGTGTGTAAAACCCTCCCCTCCCTCTTCTACCACGGATCTTGACCAATCACGTGCGGCTTTAACCGAAAGGGGGAAAAAAAACAGGAGAAAAAAAAGTCGGCTCCCATAAAGAGCGGCTCCCGATGAGGAGCCGGCTCATGTCGTTCACTTCAAAGAGCCGGCTCTAAGAGCCGGTTCGTTCGCGAACGACACATCACTACTTGACAGTATCCTGACCCTGGCTATTTTTCATACTACTACGTTGAATGACGATTTTCTTGGCATGTATCACTGATACAGAAACAGAAACCCGCTGTACTTTGTAGTCTGCGTGGTCAGTCTGGATAAGAGCCAACTATAGCTCTGAAAAGCTTACCTTAGGATGCAACTGTTGCATAAGCGCTCATTACGATTGTGCATGTGTGGCGCAACAGTGCCACCATGAGGGCATGGTGATGGAAGTGATGTTTTATCACTCCTTTGACAGGTCCCTCCTCTTCAAGGAAAGCTGCAGTACTTGCGTGTCCTCAACGATCTCCCACCTTTTGGAGGAATATTGTTCAATACGGTTGGACTGGTAGTACATTTTAAGTCTTTTTATACGATAGAACCGCAATTGGTATTTTGTCAGTTAACCTATTTGACGAAAATATATATTGTGGGTTTGTCTACACTAGGATGAAAAACAATCAGCCACCACATTGCTGGTGGGTCCTCGACATGGCATCAGTCATGTGATCGACCTGAAAAACAACCTGACAACAGTTCTGACCGAGTTTAGTCGGATATCGAAGATCCAGCTCTATCGAGAAAGCCAAGGTGTGGCTCGTGTGGAGGTTTCAATCCACGAAGGCAAGGTATGACACAATCTTGCAAGTTTTGTTTCAAGGATGTGTTAAATACAATGACATACTCCTTGCATTATTTTCTTGCCTGCAACTCCCTTGCAGCCCTTGGTGCTACTCATGGAATGGCCGGATGCCAGTAACTTTGCATGCCTCATCTCTGGCTACTACAAACTGTTTGTCGACCCCAAAAGGAACATCTACTTCAGGATCTCTGGTCAGTTTCATCTGAGCAAGACAGGTATGTTGGAAGGCGTCTTGATCTATAGTGGCTCATTCCAAACTAGAATTCTGCCCCGGAACATAATTCATGTTCTAAAACATTCAAACCATTGTTATTACCAAGTTAACACTGGAACGCCTCACATGAAACAAATCACATTGTCAGAATACAGCATATTGGTCGGCGTACATGACATTTGTTGGCTTGAGTTTCCAGCGAGTGAAATAACGGGCAGCAGTTGAATCAACATCCCACGGCAACATACTCTGTCTGTCACCATCTTGGCTCATCAGAATGAGATACTCATTCCTTTTCCAGCCAGCCAACCATAACCTTACAAGAGTTCTAGTGTGCAACCTTTTGCTGTAATCACTAACATTTGCTGGAGCATGAACAAATCCACTGCTTTATGTTGTGTCTACCTGTGGTCTGCATACGAGAAGGGTTGTCATACCATCACATTCCACTCGAATCTAACCCTCAAAACTCAAAACTATTTCAACTTTCAACATTCATCACCGAAATAACAAATACGCCCCATGAGACCATCAGCTGTCCGCCTCTGCTTTCCCATCTGGATCTTCTTAAAATAAACTCATTTTAAATGCCTCAAACTCTTCACTGCTCTGACAATTCTATCCCCAGATTACAGGAGCTCCCACCATTCACACCCACGTTCTGGGGCAACCGGCTTACCAAGTGGAGGGCGGAGAGGGGACGAGAGCGAAAGCTTGCACAGGGAGTCAGGGTCTTCAAGAGCCGTAGCCCCTGCAGAGTCTCAGCATCTAGGTCTGTGCCATTTCCACCTTCAAGAACAACAGTTTCAGGAGCTCCAAGCACACCCTGAAGCCGAGCTTGACATCAATGAGAACTGTATTTCCCAGGAGGCCACTGACCGGCCCCGCACCAAGTCAGACCCTACACGGCAGAATACAGAGGAGGTAGCTGTGGTGACACCAAACCCACAGGTGGAGAATGCCGGATTCAGAATCCATGCCCAAACATTGGCTCAATCCCAAAAATCACCACGGTACTTCTGTGACTCCTGCAAAGACAGGCACAAAAATGAGGAACGAGGAAACGCGGGGAAAACTTGCTCGAGTGCTTGCGCTTCCAGAAATGGGGGTGGAGTTGATCTCATGGCCCTGCCGCCCCCTGGCAATGAAGAAGATGAGGAGGAGGAGGAGCAGGAGGAGGAGCCACCCAACGGAGCCGAAAAGCCGCAACCACCGCAACCTGCGATTGCTGCCCCACCACCTGGCTTCAGAGACAACAGCTCTGATGAGGATGACTCAAAGAGACGGAAGAAGGCTCCAACCAGTGCCAGGACTGACGCCACCACTGTGAAACAGCAACATATTAAGGAGGACGTGCCTGTGACACTTATTGATAATGTCGCCACGAGAACAGTCCGAGATCATGCACAGGAACTTGATGATGCATTGGTATCCACCTTACAAGCTCTCGAAGCTTTGGCAGCTTCTGAGGACTACCCCCATCACCACCAGCAGCCAACACAGACTGCAGGTCAACAACCTCAGTCATGCTATGGTCCACACCAGGGATGTCCAACTCCGGTTCTCCAGGGCCCCTATCCAGCATGTTTTCCATCTCTCTCTCTCTCATCCAACATAACTGATTCAAATGAGCAGCATAATCAGCAAGCTCTGAGAAGCCTGATAATGTTCCTGATCATTTCAATCAGGCGCGTTGGAAGTGGGAGACATTTAAAAAATGCTGGACAGGGGACCTTGAGGACCCAAGTTAGACACCCCTGGTCTACACCTCGGCAACAGTAATCTGATTATCACACGACAGAGCATCCCCTCTGTTTTCGCTACGGCGAAATGGCAGCCAAATCTCTTAGCAGCAAAAACACATCATAAAACGTGGAATCATTATGGATAATACTTTGACAAATTAGTGACAAACTGAGCCTCATCGAAAATGAGAGCAAAACGGATACAAGAGACAAAAGTCTTAATAAGCCATAACACTCGGTAACACAACTCCATGCAAAAGTCACCTAACTGATTATTATTTTCTACTAGGAATATTATACTGGTTTATCTTGGCACATCTGTCAAGCAAACAAATGCATTGCACGGAAAAGGCACAATTCTCTCTCTGGGCCACAAAAGTCCCATAATGCAGTGATCACTGAGAGGGGCAAAAACTAAATCCTGAAGGGATTTCAGGGAAACGTTTTTGGTCAAATTTCTGCTTGAATAATAAAACGCATTTTTAATAGTAACATCATCGCAGTATCTATTCTCGCTTGCATCATGATCGTCCTATTAATGTACTTTTGTCTTACTCCTCAGGGCTTATTGTCCTGGCTGCTATTACACCAGAATCGTCGTTGGATTCAGGACATGAAACCAATTCTTCTGAACTGACAGATGTTTCTGAGATGGTCTCGGCAATGAAGCAAAACCAAAATCAAGCCTACCTGCTAACACACCATATCAATAAGGAAAGCCGCCTCTGCCGCCGTGATTTTCCCCTAGCCATCCCTGGCTGCACAGCAAAGACAATCGGGACAGGGGCATTTTCTGTGGGTCAGATCCGCGCTGGATGTCCTCCCAAGCAAGTAATCCTCAGTAAGACTGTTCCCTTTAAAGTCAGCCCCAGTCAAGACTCTGGGATTGTCAGTGTTATCACAGAGCAGAGAGGCAATCAAGATCCCATTCCGAATGAACAGACACCAGAAGTGAAAGCAAACTTTGCCTCTACTAAAGCGAACATCCCTGATCCCCTCCTTAAACTACCCGAAGAACTTAAAGTGTCGGCTGTTTCACCTTCAGCTCCAGTCACCAAAGATCCAAAGTTATCCAGCGCTTCAGGGGAGACACAGAGGCTAAATCTCCTCAACAGCGCGAAGGAGAAGTCAACATTACCTGTTAATACAGACAAAGCCTCATCGGTTCTCTTACCCATGGACAGGACTGCCTCAGCCAAGGTTCCCCAAACTATGTGCCAAGACGCCGAGACTGCCTCTAACGAGACCATGAAGCCGGCAAGTTCGACTGAATTTCTGCCAGTCGATGATCTCTTCTGCACATGCCCAGTGCAACAGGAACCTGGGCCGCAGTTAAGGATGAAAGATCCGCAGGTTCAGAAGGTAGTGGTGTTTCAAACCTCATCACCGACGGATGATGAGCGGCTTCGCGCCAAAGGCCTCTTTATGGCGAATAGCAAAGAAAATACACCAAGAACGGGCGTAGAGTGCAGTTTGACAAAACCTAGTCCGACAGTACAAACAAAGTATTCTCCTCACTTTCCTCCAACAGCAGAAAGAAAAGAAGGAGCTGAGAGCACACTAGATGGCGCCTTTGGCAAATCCCATTCTGAATCGCAGATATGTGCTACAAAGTCATTACCGAATTTAGAGGACAAAACACAGAGCCCCTCTTTGGAGAGAGTGTGTACACTACCAACTAAAGAATCAAAGAAAGTAGCGGGTGTAAAGGGGAAGCCCCAGCGCAGTGCCCCTTTTTTGAGCATCAGAAACTTACTTTCAGCAACGTTCCCAGCGAGAATGAGAAGGGAAACAGATGAGCGAAGGGCACAGCTGCAAAAGGTTCGTCAGTATGAGTTGGAGTTCTTAGAAGAGCTCCTGAGACCCAAGTCCTCGCAGGGAGAATTTTTGCCCCAAGGATCCTCACCTGTACCTTCGGGGACTCCTTGTGCCTGCCAGCTACGCACCAGCCCTGTCCTGAAAGCACCGGGTATCTCCAGAGAACAGCGGCGAAGCTGTGACTGTAAGAGAATGTGTAGGGGGATGAGACTACCTGATACACCAGTTGGCTCCTCCACAACAGAAACGCAAAATCGAGGCAGGGAGAGAACGACCGCAAAGACGCCTCCGACAAACTCCAAAGCACCTCACAGTGATGGTGCTACCAAGCAAACTCAGAATTTAGAGGTCAAAACCGCACGAATACGTTCCATCAGCCTTGAGTCGAGGGAGCCCCGGGGGGAGCGGGGCAGCTGCTTGCCCACCTGTGCCTCAGAAACAAACTACGTGGAAGCATCAGAAAATAAGAAGCTCCAGAGGCGATACAGCATCGGAGAGCTGGATAACAGTACGAACACGCCCGTTTATGCCGAGGTCAAGCCCAAAACCAAGAGTCTCGAGAAAGAGATGGAGCGAGTCAGAGCTACAGGATTAAGGCTGCCAACCCCGGTGGAGCCGGTTCATACACAGTCTCATCAGCCAGACGGAAAGGGGAAAAAAGGTGTATTTTATATTCAGAGCAATGAGCTACTGTGCGAAAGTAAAGAAGAGAGCGGGGAGATGCTGCTGACGTTGCCCAGTGAAGACAGCGATGACAAGGATAAATGCTGTTCATTCTGTTTCTGCTACCGGAAATGTGAGGCAGCAGATGAGAGCAGTGAGAAGGACGAGCTTTCATACTCGATTCCGCTTCAGGTTCTTCCAGGCATGGAGCTGGACTCAAGTGCATTTCCTGTTGTCAGCAAGACCCTGCAGGTTCTTCATGCAGAAGACTGCAGTGGAGAAGAAGACATAGGAAAAGAGCCACAGGCGCAAGAGATTGACCTTCGAGCTTGCGGCACACTGGAGGGGAGCCTGGCGCGGGTTGAGGTTCTACAAGGGAAATCCTTTAGCCTGCCTGACGGCTTCCTAAATGCCCAGTTGGATGCTAATGAGTTACTCGCCATCCTGCGTCAGTGCGCGATCAGTCCGCAAGCTGAGGGCGAGGCTCGTCTTCAGCCCTCGCGGATTGCAGAGTACAAGCAGGAACTGGCGGTGCATTTCAAAGAATTCCGAGCATCCTGTCGCCGAGTGGCCAGCGTGGAAAAAAGCCCAACGTGTATGCTTGCTGTTGTCACGGCCAGCTTTCAAGTGTTGTGCGATTTAACCCAGACCTTCATCAAACTGGTCAGAGGGGTTCGCACGGAGACTCAAAGACAGCAGCTGTTAAGAAAAGTTGAGGAAGTAGCTATTAACTATACTTTGCTCCTTCGCGCAGCGGAAGAATCGATGGGACATTCAAGCAGCCTGCCGACAAAAACAGTTAGTCCTCAAGTGTCCTCCGACACCAATATGATGAGCTCGCTCACCCGACCCATCAAAGTTCTTCCTGCCAAGTAAAGACAACTCTTGCGGGATTATGAGCCAATCCAAAACAAGCTCATTATGTATTCATTCATTGTTTACATTTTTACTGAATGTGCAATGGATACACGGCAATGAAGATTGCAATGCAGCTGTTCCATCCCATGTTTACAGGCCCCAAGATAGCCTTGTGGATATTGCTCTGAAATGTAAAGATACACCAAAATGCACAAAATGAATAGAATAGTTCAACAGGGCTAATCACCTCATCAGTATATAATCAAAACAAATTAGTCAGTATAACATGATATTTTATATGTAGTGTAAATTGGACTTGTGTCTACATAGAAAGTAATATATACAACATTTTGTGAAAAAAAGGATCTATTTAAGAAGTAATAATTTAAAAGAACTATATATATATATATATATATATATATATATATATATAATTTTGTGTGTGTGTGTGTGTGTGTGTGTGTGTGTGTGTGTGTGTGTGTGTGTTCGCTCTGGACAAAAATATTTGAGATTTTAGCGAGTACTGTAGAATGCATCGTTTAAAGCAATGGTTGGTTAAATGGTACCATGTCGGTATGTGGAGCTTAATGTTGTCATGCAAATGTGAAGTTTCTGTTGGCTATGTTGCACAGACAGTACGTAAGACAGAAATGACAGAGAGTTGGACAGTGAGACAACACACAACCACAACATATTACACCGAGTCATGCCGTTCCCGTAGGTATGCACACACCTGCAATGGGTATATCATGTAGCAGAGATCCAAGCAACACGCCTCTCCTCTGTACAATAACATCCGAATGAGAAGGTGTACCCTCATTACACTTAATACACGTGCATTTTACACCATTCTGCTTCATATGCCACTTGCATCTCACTACTCAATCATAATAAGCCGGTTCAATGTAAATGGCTATTCGGGCTCAATTACAACAGACAATGTTTTTCGCAACTGTGCAAAATCACCGTATACTGTACTGTGAAATATGATATAGTTTTCAACGCGCCCATCCACAAGCAATGGCATAAGATGAATAGAACTTTGCACAGCTTCTGAATTTAGAACTCAAGTTGAACTATTGTGTAATTGAGTGTTTTTCTATCCCATCCTTTGCTGAAATATTAATTTGAGTCTGCACTAGTTTTACATGCTGATCATATCTAAAGCTTTTCAGAGAATCCCTTGTCATGTTAGGTTGTCAGGCGACGTATAAACTTGCTTTCTGTGTGCTGTTGTACATTGTGCAATCTAGGAAGTATATAAGAAACACACAAAGTAGTTTTCTATGTATTTTAATAAAACTAACACATCCGCCCTGCAGTGTCTGAAATCTTCTTTGTGTCTCACTCTCTTGTTCACACACATGAATCAAAAAAGCTCTCAAAGGATGTACTGACCCAATATGTACACTGGACACTGTTTCAAGTTCTGTGCAACAGAAGTGTGATCGCCACACTTCTCATATTAATTCTCATTGTTTAAAAAAAAATGTATAATGCATATTTATACACACAAATGAGTCGTGTTATATGCTGGTAAAATGATTATTATGAATAACTACATTGTTTTGTATTCCCTTTATGTCCATGGCCGTGTTCCGCAGGTCACTACATAAACTGTAGGATTCATTTTATAAACTCAACATCCTCGAAATAAATGAATTCATTTGTGTACTCATTACTCATTATGCATATACTAAAAAAATTGACTGACAAAATCATGTTCACAAGCATTCTCTTGACATTGTCCTTTATTGTAGCTGTGGCATTTTTCATAAATGTATCCTGTGTTTTTGTTTAATTTTATCTTCATGAGTTCTCTTCTTTGGGAAATTTTTAATGGATGTGTTTTCTTTATTTCGACAGGGGGGGTAAATAATACATCAGTTCGGTGCAATATGTAAAGTTAGATTCTACAAAGATATGTACTGCCCAGTATTCTAAGTGTAGATAGCGATACGAAATGCTTTTCAAATATAAGATTTAGCTTCTGATTTAGACTAACTGTAGTAGCATTGTAACATTCAGAAAAAAAAAGAAAAACAGATTCAAGAGAGTATAGGCAAATAAAAAGCATGACAATTTTAATCTTTTATTTTTATAGACAAAATATATCAGACAATAATCTTGATACTATAATGAACATTTTTGTTTTGCTGTGTGCCTTTGTTATTCACAAAATGCCCTCCCCAATAGTGAAATTCATTGTTTTTGTTTTTTTTATTATTGTTGTTTTAAAGAGCACATTTGCATTCCTGTCTTGTTTTCCTCTTCGTGATAGTCACTGTGGTCTTTTGTCTGTGTTAACTCATGTTATGTTTTGAGAGAAATAAAGGACAACCAAGAAACTCCTTCAGATATATGGAAATTACATTTCATGGCAAAGATGTCTCACGGTTCAAACACCAACCTTGAGCAGAAATGTAATTGTATTGACAATATTTTATTATCAATAAGGTTTTGAACAGTCTGGAACGATTTGTTTCCAAAAGGAATAGATTTCAAATTTTTGACCTACAAAGTGTTTAACCCCTGTCACATATTAACAGAGACTAATTGGCTGGCATGATAATTAACAGTCTCAAGTGTTGAAGAAGTCAAGGTATAAACTATATGAACATCCATCCATCCATTTTCTAATCCACTTATCCTCACGAGGGTCGCGGGCGTGATGGAGTCTGTCCCAGCTGTCGTTTGCCAATAGGCGGAGGACACCCTGAACTGGTTGCCAGCCAATCGCAGGGCACACATAGACGAACACCCAACCGCACTCACGCTCGCACCTAGGGACAATTTAGAGTGTTCCATTAACCTGCCGTGCATGTTTTTGGAATGTAGGAGGAAACCGGAGTACCCGGATAAAAGCCACGCAGGCACGGGAGAACATGTAAACACCACACAGGATGGCCGGAGCCGGAATCGAACCCTGCACCTCTGCATTGTGCTCACCAGTTGTCCACCGTGTCGCTACTATATCCAAAAAGCAGGTCGCCATAGCGGAAGATGACAGCAATCAATCCTCACACCCTTCTTCTAAATCTGTGTTTCTTTTTCAACACAGAAAAAAAGTACACTATTAGTACTTGCTAACGTACGCACCCTCGTCAGTATCTCTGCGACTCGTATTTCCTGGTGCTGCGAATGGCATTCGTTCAAGCTGTCGCACAACTGCCCAAGTCATTCACGGATAAACAATTATAATAATGATGATAATAATAAACGAAACACAACCGCAAACCGTGCACTATAAACACGAATCCATATAGCTATGAACACGGATGTCATACTTCCGTGGACAAAAGCGGAAAAGGAGTGTGCCTTGTATGTAATTACTGTAAAACGCTATCAGTTATCCAGGTGGCAAATACGGTGGGGTTTTTTTGTTTGCTTGTTTGTTTTTTACTGTCTGCTGTTTTTCTGTTTCTCCTTTCTTTACTTCTTCTTTTTTTGTTGTGTTTCTTTGTCAGGATGAAATGACACCACCTAAAAAAAATCTCCACTCCATGGGACAACGAAAATTCCAAATAAAAATGTATTTTTATTTTATTTGAGATAAACAAACTCGACGCACTTAATTTTTTTGTAGATGTCATTTTTCTAATTGTCCAACAGAGAGCGGTATTTTTCAGAACTTGCCGCATAATTCTACACTATTTTATTTTTTTCTGTATGGTTGTTTTGCTACTAAAATTATGTTTGGGATAATTGTGTGTTTGAAAAAAGGTAATGTATGTAAAGTGATGTTCAGACAAGGTTATTTTTGTTTTTCTTTTCGTGAAATAAACAAATCTATGATTTTAACATTCAAAACTGGGTGTAAAACATTCATTAAAACGGAGGCCAAATTTGTTGTTGTTGTTTTGTGTGTGTGTGTGTGTGTGTGTGTGTGTGTGTGTGTGTGTGTGTGTGCGTGCGTGCGTGCGTGCGTGCGCGCGTGCGTGCGTGCGTGCGTGCGTGCGCGCGCGCGTGTGTGTGTGTGTGTGTGTGTGTGTGTGTGTGTGTGTGTGTGTGCGTGCGTGTGTGTGCGTGCGTGTGTTCTTTGGAACCTTTTTCTCGCTACTTTGGACGAGCAGTGGAGGGGTTGCCAGCTAATCACAGGGCACATTTTGACAAACAAACCTTTCACACTTATATTCATTCGTAAGGGCAATTTAGATTTTTCAGTGTCCCAAGAAGCATGTTTTTGGAATGTAGGAGGAAGCCGAAGAGCTCAGACAAAGCCAGCACAAGCACGAGGAAAACATTCAAACTCCACAGGGAAGGCCGGAGCCAAAAGGTGATGAAGCGGTGGTGTTGTAACCACTCAGCAACTATACTACGATACACTTGATACAATTTGACCAATTTCTTAAATAGTGCAAGCAACTACAAAATTCAAGATGAGTTCTTTATACAGATTGAAATACAGTTGAGTCCATAAATATTGAGACACCGACACGATTCTCATCATTTTGACTCGAAACACCACCACTATGGATTTGAAATGAAACCAACAAGTTGTGCATTACATGCAGGCGTTCAACTTATTTTGTACCAGGCGAAAAGTGTCGCAATTAAACAAAACGTTTTAATAATTTGTTGCAAATGCTTTACAGTTAACTACTGTCTGTTTTTTAATTCCCACACCGGTCACCTGATTTGAATGCAAATACCCATGTCGTGATCCTGTTCTTGTGTCTCCAGCAGGTGGCAGACTAGAGCCAATTGTCAGTGTGCACACTTGCCGCCAATGTTCTCATCATTGAGCCATGCATTTAAAGACTGACAAACAGCCTGCAGTTTGTCAGATTATTGTTGACCTTGTTGATGCTCTTGCTCAAGTGATTGTTTTCTAGACCTCTTGTTCTTGTCAAAGTCGATCGAGATCCTTTCGTACCTGTTTTGTTTTTTGTTTTTTTTTTTGCTCAGTACCATCGGGTTTAGTCATTTGTCTTTGTTTTTGTTTCCTGTAATCGGATTCGATACCTTTCATTGGTTTTCTTGATTACTTCTTGATAACTATTTCCTTGCCTTTTGCAAGTGCTTTTCGTTCATGTAGTTTTTCCTGGTTCATTGTTTTCTGATCATACTTTGTCGGTGCGCTTTTTGTTCTTGTAAATAAACCTTTGTGTTCCAGAGATTTGTTTGGTGTCTACGTTTGTGGGCTCCTGAAACATTATTCGGTTCGTTTCGAACTTTTACACCCTCAAGATATACCAGAAAGTCTGCATGTAAAGCACATATTGTTGGGTTCGTTCCAAATCTGTGAATCAACCCTATTGTGCAGACTAGAGTTTGTACTCGTGGGCTTCTGTTTTGCTTGATGTTATCAAGATACAATCAGTGCTGCAGAGATTGACCCAATCAGGAACACAGCTTCCAACTCCTCAATATTATATACAGAATTTGTGGAGACACTTTAAAAGACATTTGCCAGAAAAAGAAATGTGAACCTTTTGGAATTAT